CTCTGCTGTGGTATTAATTGCAAGCAGCAAGAAAATTGCAAGAGCCCACATGACATGTGGGTACACCATGTTACAGTTCACTGACTTATGCATCACTATTTTCATCATTTTTGACTTTTCCTTTGTACTTCGCTAAGTCACCTAAAATCTACGCTCATTATAGCACTCAAAGCCCCCGCAGCATTCTGCACCAGCCCAGACAGCGTGCAAAAGCTAATCCTGGCAGGAGTGAGAGAACACCTTAGATGTCAGCCTTGTTCTGAGCATAATCACACCCAGAAATTTCAGAGATCAACACATTATTTGATTTAAAGAAAAGCTAAAGACTTGGAGAGTATGGAATAAATACCACTGAATAGACACAACATGCAGTGAGTGTATCTTGAAGGATATCTGGGAAAGGCTATTCTTGCTGTGGACTCAGAAGTTGGAACTTACATCCAGATGATACACATAGAATTCTGGTTTATAAAAAGTAAATAATACCGTAGGCATATGTTCAACCTTACAGAAACTTGGTATTTGCTTATCCATTCAGTACCTTGAGGGGACGTGGAAAACGGCATGGGAGTGTAGAAATTGTGGCGCTTCTGTTTGATTTGTTTCTGTTCTAATGCGTGGAATGTGCCTGAAATTATAATTTTGGCTTCTATTTTTAGGACAGTTTTTCCACCCAATTGACTTCACCATACTTGAAATTCATCCTGGGTCTGATCCCAAAAAACCAGATGCCACAATGATTGTTAAAAACAATGAACTGACAGTAACAAGGTAAAACATAATTAAGTCCTTCGCAAAGACTTAGGAAACATTACCTCGTCAAAGCACAGCTCCTGCTTCCGTAGCCCCTCCCGTGACTGTGCTTTCCCTTGCAGGGGCTGGCAGAAGGATTACAGAAAAGATCCGAAGCACGGTGTCAATGTTCCTTGCTGGTTTGTTCATGACAACGGAGCTGGGCTGATAGATGGTGTTCACACGGACTACGTTGTTTCCAGCCTGTTTTAAACAGCTACAGCTTCCTCTAAATTTGCGGGTACACAGAGCGTCTGTCTGAGAGAATAGCATTTTGCAATGTGTAAGAACTATTAAAAATACATCAGCTTACCGTGCTTGGCAATGCCCAGATACAATGGATTCTCATGGAGAGTTTTACTGCATATTTAATCAAATCTTCTGTGCTAAACAGCTATTCTGCCTGTGTGCACAGATAGCGCTCATCCCCCGAAATAGCCTCATTGTACTGAAGTAATTGACTTGTTTTAAAATTCAGACTGAAGATCTTACTTTGTAAAACATAACAGAAACATTCTATCCAATTTCAAATCAGTAACTGCCTGTCAGGAGCGACTGAAATAAAAGCATCAGTACTTCATGCTTTGTGCTGTTATTCCACAGCTACCAATGTTTTCATTCTGGTTTTGCAAAGCCCGGGATGCCGGACGCGTTTTGGAATTCCACGCAAGAGCAGAGCTGAGAGAGCAGAACCCCGGTCAGGATGGTTCAGCGGCCCTCACAACCGCCCGACCACCCGCCGGCACCGTTCTGCGGGCGGAGCAGCGCCAGCGCGCGAGATGGCTGTTAGCGTCCAGGACTTCGGCAGTTTAGTATTTTAATTTGAACTTAACTTTTGAATGCCCATATCTTTATGAATTAGTGAAACGCCACAGTTCCAAGCAGCACGCCAGTTTAAGTAGTAGGAGCCGTCTTCTGAACAGTATCTTTTTTGTGCAAGAGCCTTACCGTCTTCCCGTGAAGTTCCTCCTTCTGTTCCCATAATGGAATTTATGTATGAATTTCTGGACAAGAAGTGTCCCATTTAGTTATATAGTCATTTTGTACTGGGAGAAATGGTAAGCTATTAGTTCTGAAGCAAAAAATCAGATTTCTTATTTACTTTGAGTTTTCTTTTAATCAGCTCAGCCATAGCAAGGCAATTGTGGTCTTGCTTGGCAAAGTAAAAAATTTCCCTACTGTTACACGACAAGGAGAGAAAGTGTGCGGGAAACTAGAATGCAGGCACATGTGAGGAAAGAGGAGTGTAAGGGGAAAAACAGAGTTGACACAAGATGTGCTCGGTTAAATTGAAAGAACAAAGGCAGAGGTGAACAAAAATGCAACAGAAAAACCAAAGAGGAACAAAATAGAGGAAAAATCTACTTACTGTTCAATTTCTGGGAGAGACAGGCCTTCTCCAGGCACAAAATCCGTTACTAAAAGCAGATTTGTGGAAGGGGTGGGGAATAAGTTCTTGGGGGGTGTCACAGTGGCTAGATGTCTCTGCCTGCTACATTCAGACAAAAATCATGACAGAAAACAGCAGTTTCTGCAGAAGGTAAGAAGTTACTGAAAAGAGAGGAAGGCAGGGAGAGAAACAGGAAAGAGGGAGAGAAGACCAGAAAATGGAAACTGGTAGGGTAAAGTTTACGTGGTTCTGAATTTGTATTCTAAGATGACGAGTTAGAAGCCATGCTGCATCTTGGATCTGAGGTGGGAGCTGCGGGCCTGCCCATCAGGGCTGGTCCTGTGCTGGCTTCCTCCATTCAAACAAAAAAGCGTAGCAGTGGGCAGCAGACCTTGACCCTCCGGGCTGGCACAGCTTAGGCACGAGGCAAGACTGGGCACAGCCCGAGTTTTTTTGTGCCCGGCTGGGGTGGATGTGTCCGCCGCCAGCGAGCCCCGGGGGGCTCTCATCTGCGGCTTCTGTGGCAGCCTGAGAAACTCCCCCTTACACTGGTGGAGATAGGAAAATCCCCTTTTTAACATGTCATTCTTCCAAGATTCCTGCAACGCGGGAGATAACTGCGGGGTAGCTGAAGCTGACACTCAGGGGAGAGAGAAGTAGCGAACAGATGCTTACAGGTAGATAAAAATTTTACTCCTACCACCAACTGGTACAATGCCGGTTAAAAGAGAAGAGCGTGAGATACACTGTGTATTCTGCAGTGGAATTGGAAATTATAGAATGCAAAAATATTCATTACTGTGTCTGCCTTTCACTTCCTGCCCAAGGGAAGGGAGCGCAGAGAATCAGAAGCCCGTCAGAACTGACTTTGGGGCTTGGAGAGGAGGAGAGTGACTCAACAACAAATTAAGACAGAACTGAAGTGAAGAAGAGTGAAATGGCAGGGACTTACGGACTGGAGAGCACATGTGCAGGGGGAAAGAGCGCTGCGGGAAGGATCTGGGAGCAGCAGTAGCCAGGCGCAGCAGCGAGGGTGCAGCCGGTGAGAGGCTCCGTTGGCTGCCCCAGTGCAGCACATGCAAGCAGCGCGGAGTCCAGAGGGCAGGAACAGCTTTGCCGAGGAGCTGTAGGAAGAGGGGAAACCCCCCCAGCAGTGTGAAAAGCTGCTGTGAGGAAGGCTGGCACCTGCTTTTCTTCCCATCTCCCAAGGCCAGCAGGACTCGCTGCTCTGCGGCAAGAGAGGGTTGCATGAACAGGGCAGGAGCGGGAGGGTTGGCAGAGCTCTCCAGAATGGTCTGCGCACGGCTGAGCCCCGCGTGGAGCAAAGGGGACAAGGGAAGGATGCCCTCCAGCCACGCCTCGCTGCTCCCCACATCAGCGCCCCTTGCCAGCCCTGTGGCGAGCAGGCGGGTGGAGGAGGCAATGCACCCTGTAACTGGAAGCAGGGAATTGTTAATTTGCACTAAATCCACTGATAACACCCAGCACCAACAGCACGTGATTCAAATACCAAGTTCATTTATAATGGAAATAATCTGCTTTTCAAACTGGGCGTGGGGAAGCAAGCAATCTGGTGTTGCCAGTTTCCAAATTCTGCATTGTCTGCTGTGTAATTTGTCCAGGCAGATCCGCATCTTCAAAGTACAAGCAATTCAAGCAAACACGTCTTGGCATCATGTCTACACAGCTCTTTTAAAAAAGCAGGCTTCTAATTACATGGTTTGCTTATCTTACTGACTTTGGCAAGAAATTGCTTCTCTTTTAGTATATTGCTTTGAAATAAGTTTTTTCTAGTTACACATTATTGGCAGGATAGGAAGCAACTTTTATTAAACATTCTGCAGTGCTGGCGTAGTTGTGCGTTCAAGGATACACAGGAACTGAAATTCTAAACCAAAATAATTTTGGAATTAAAATTTATGAAAAAATCTGAAGGCTAAAACTACAACCTGCATTCCATGGGCAGAGGCTTCTGTGTGTGCAGTTCCTCAGAAACGCTACCTCCATGCACCACGTGTTGTTCCAAGTTCTTCGTTATTTGTAAAACTTTTTCCAATGTTTGCAAAACCTTGTCTGAAGCAGTGCCCAAAAAGGCTGCTACATTGCAGGGTTGAACCGCTGTCTTTTGCAACAAGTCAGAGGTCTGTTGCGCAACCAGTCGGAGCCTGTTTTGCAGCTGCTGTTAAAGCAGAGCTTCAGAAGCTCTGGGACGAGGAGCGGGATGGCAGCCAGCATGCGCTGCCGCCCTCGCGCATGGTCCTGCTGCTGGTTTCTCCAGCTTTCAATGTGCTCACAGAACGATCTCCAAAGAACCCTAATACAGACAGGCTGCTTTTTTCCCCATAAAATAAAAAAATCAGAGAATAGTAAACTAATACTGCTTTAGACTTCAAACTCTTTTTACAAAACACATGGTTCCAGACCACTGTCCTTTGTGCCTGGGTAGAGAGTGCAGATTTTAGAAGCCTGTTACTGTTTGCATGATGCGTTTGTTGGATTGAGCAATGCCACTATTTATTTTTATTTGGAAACCGAAGTCTGTGTGTCCATATCAAACTGTGAGCTGATAATGTCTATTTTATTAAATTCATTCACATAAATCTTCAACGACATAACCAGATTATTAGAAACCATTTTAAAATAACAAACAACAAGTACGTTGTCATCTTGAAAATATAATTATTTCAAGGTAAAATATTTGTCACATTTGTCTCTAGTAACAGGTAAGGCTTTGTGTGGTTTTTTTTGATGAGAGGAAGTACCAAAAGTATTTGGCAGAGCGTCATTTGGGTAGTTTTCTTCCCCAGAACACTCTTAGCTAGGGAGTTACATCTATTGACCAGCAGGAAACAGGATCGCTGGCTGACTCCAGCCTGTAATCTTTCTTGTATTGCCTGAAACAAAATCCAAACAACAAAAACAAGTGATCAAATAAGGACAGGGCAGGCCCCGACTCGAGCTGGTGTGTGCGGGAGGTGCCAGGGGTCCGCAGGACTGTGCGTGGGCAGAGTGGGCCCCTGCCCGCCCCCAGCGCTGGGGCAGCGGGGATGGGGACACGTGGGGACAGCGAGCAGAGGCTGCGCGCTCGCCGCATTGCTTCCACACCATGCACACTGACCAAAAGCAAATGAAGTGTAAAAACATTTTCTTGTGGTAAGTGCAACTGAGCAAAACCTCTCCCGTATCCGTGTAAACCAGGCAGCAGCACCTTGCTGTAACTGGCATTGTGTACGCAGACCACGTGATCTCCCCCCCATGAAATAGGAGCCTTGACCCCTGTAATGTCACTTAACAAGCAACAAATTCAGGCTGTTAGGGAAAAATTCAAGCACAAGTTCCTGTTACTCACACCAAAGAGGTGTATTCTTACAAACACCCCCTTTGTTTAAGTTCTTTGGATCTCCAATATTAGGTGATAAACTACGTCTCAAAGCATGTACATCACCCACCCGCGGTCCCGTATCTGTTACCTGGTAACTTTGTGCTCGGACCCAGACACACTCAGGAGTCTTTCGTCAGCTCTCTGATTGATGCTGGGATTGTTCTTAAGTTGTGCTTTTGAGTAGAACTGACCTAAGCAACAGACACACAAATTATTTAAAAATACAACATATTTGAGTGTTGTTGATTTAACCCACACAGCAGCTGTAACAGTAGCAAAGCAGCCATCTGCCTCGGAAAGCAAACCAGCAAACAAACAGGACCACGTTTGGAAGCTCCCTTCAGACGTTGAGAAAATCCCCGTGTTTCAGCTGCGACCTCCTGTTATCCCCAATGCTCCTCCCCAGGGAGCTTCAGCCTTGCCCTGACAGGTTTTCACACTTATTGGTGGTTTTACAATCTGCGGCCTCTCCGTTTGCAAAGCATGTGCTCCAGCTTCAGTTCCATCAGGATTTTTGGAGTTGAGATGTTCAGGACCAGCTGGCTTTCATTTCTAACCCTGATTGTTTACAATTTTATGTCCATTATTTATAGTCCGTTATCTGACATGAAATGAACTTGCTGCATAAATGATGTCATTCCACAGCACTGTTGAGGTTAAGCCCAGCTATTATTTTAGTCTTATTTTAACATTTTCTAAACCCGTACCAGTCCATTTAGGCTTGCACCACCCGTGAGTGCAAAAGCGTTACGTTACGTTTCCAGGGTAAGACCTCCCCTCTTCTCAGAGTAGGGTCTGCACTGCTGTGCAGTAAATGTCTGAATTTATGCCTTGCCTGCCCACTGCTTTTCATGGGAGCGTGTCAGGGCCCAGGGAAGTGAAATCTGAGTACGGGCTTATGATGTGGCTCAAATAAAAGCACCATGTTCTCACAGCAGGAGCTTAGTTACAAGTTCATCCTTCTTTGCTGTATACGTCCGCAATGATACATACCCAGAACTCCAGTGACTTTGTCAGAAAAACGGTCGGTGTTCAAGAAATAAAGCCCAAGGAAATCCTCTGTAAACTTCACGAAGGAAACTTTTACTGTGACTGTGTCAGACAATGACGCGGTAACGCCCCTTTCCTTTTCAACTGAGACTCTCAGCCTAGGAAGTAACCGATGACATTATTTCCAAGGGGAATACAAAGACAGAATATGTATTTAACTAGCCGACATTAATTAATTAAAATAATTTGATTTTTGCCTTTTGACTCTTTGCAAATGCATTTTTCATGATCTGTTGGTGGTGATTTTTAAGCTAGAAAATATCAAGTAGCATATCTTTTCTCTCTACACTACATAACAGATCTTTCCCATATCAGGTTATATACAAAAACACCAACAGAGAGGAACTTTTTGCTGATGAAAGCCCCTTATTATCCATAATGATAAGAAATGCTTGGATGGGGCAAAAAATATTTTCTCATCATTTTAGTAAGAAAAAGGATAGAGTAGATAAAATAATTCAACCTATTTTGACAACACGTCACACACTTTTTTCCTGGATATTTAACAAGTTCTTTCAAACCAGCCTTCCTTCTCAGACACTAATTTTGTTTTGGGCCCAGGTGGCCTTGCAGAACGCAACCGTCCACTGTCCTTTTCCTCCCCTGCAGCTCAGGTTAGACAAAATGTACCCACACGCACTCGTGTACGAAGCACTGCAGTTGCAAGGGCTCGGGTGCCGGCTTGAAGCAGGAGGATCATTCTGCTCAGCAGACGACAAATTACAGAGGGGCATAAATCCAGCATGTTCTTGGCTCCGTTTGATTACAAAAATAATTGAAAGCAGTTGCTTTAGGACTTCTGTTATTGTCTAGAACTGCCTATAAAGGAGGGAGTGCTGTGTGTCCTGGCTGCCCTGGACCAACAACAGATCCTCCCTGAGGCTTGTTCCGGCAATGCAAAAAAGCTGGTGAAACTAGCTACATTCAGCTCTTTCTTGTGGTGGGGAAGGATCCAGCTCTAATTAGTCTGACAAACGAAGTCTACATTTAAAGTACCCCTTCTCTGACCGCAGTTATTTAGTTACAGACAGCTAGTCAAACATTTTATACCTTCCCATAAAAAATGTCAGCTGCCCAGATGTGAGTTGTTGCTAAAATTGAGGAGAAAGAAAGCAGAACACAGCCTGTGTGGAGCCAGCAGAACACAGCCTGTGTGGAGCCAACTGGTGTGTAAAAGAGACAGTAAACGTCAAAGCCATCACCTCGCAGTACTCGCTCTGCGGCTGGAGGAACACAAAGTGCCTGCTGGCAGCCAGCGCGGCGGTGGCACAGGGACTGCTAAGCGCCGCAGCAGGTCCTTTTCTTTGGAAGATAAATGTTCTGCCTCTGATGTCAAAGCAGAAAGGCAGACTGGTGATGCAGTTCTTTTGATTCTCTTATACAGGCATGAAGAATTAAAATCAAACCTTTGGTGTTCCCCATATTTGAAATGGGGGATTGTGAAGGTATCCTGCTTCCGCTCACATTGAGTTACTCACCAGACATTTCGAAGCATGCACTTGAAGAAAATGGCATGTGTGAAAGTGGAGGCCCGGGTGAAGAAAGATCTGACTCCCATTTTCAAGTCTGGGAAAGGATGGGGTGATGTTTCTTACCCCTGGACGGTGGAGGTGGCTGACTCTGTCCATGGCAGCTGAGTGCTCTGGTTATTGTGGCTTAGGACGGTCTCATGCGTGGAGATGCGGATTCGTGCAGGGGGATTCACATAGGTGATGTCAAACTGCACAAAGTGATTTATTCTGTCGCCAAGTTTCCCTGTCACAGCGAGTCCTTTAATAGCATTGACACAGATTTGTCAGGTGACTGTGTTTATAAGGTACGAGTGATCTTAATAAAACTGCTTCAGCTTTGTTGCTAAAGCAACTTAAGGGTCTCAGATCTGGTTTTGGGAGGCACAGCACCCCGGATTTCAGCTCCATGTGCCCCAAGGCTATGGTGGGGTCACCAGGGTCTATTTACGTTGCCACCTCCTCTCACAGGGGTGGCTTTGCTCCATGATCAGAGCAGCTGACAACTGGTGCTTGGGGTCACAACTCCTCCGAGTACAGGACCACAGAAAAAATGCAGCGATTTAAAAGCGTGCATCTTTCTCTTAGCATGTAGGGGCTGTGGGGTTTATGGTCTCTGCATCCTCAGCAGCCCCTGATGGCTGGGCAGGGGAAAAGCCTCAAGGCCGTGCGTGTGACACTTGGAGGAGAGGCATCTGACTCACAACCAGTCCTGTGAGAAGTGCCCTCAGCTGCTGCACAGTGAAAGTTAATATTGCCTAATAGAAAGGAAAAATTAACCGAAGCATCTCTGGTCACTGCAAGGCAGCAGGTGTGATACAGCCCTTCACGAAAGGGGGTTATCCCCAAAGACACCAGCTGCTCTCAAAGACCAAAGTGACTCTCCTTGTCCTTGCTATCAGGGGTAATCTGGCTCACTCACCTTGCTCCGGATCTGACAGCAGGTGGACAGAGGACTGTGCTTGTCCGTCAGCATTTAAACAGATCATTTCGTTCTGCTTGGGTAATTGCAAGAGCAGCTGTGGATATTCATTCACTGAAAAGCCAGAAGAACAATGTTAGCATGCAAAGTCAAGTCTGTGCGCTTTGGATGGGCACAGCAAAATTACTTAATTTATGCCTAAAATACTGTTATATCTTCTATAGAATAGAATGCCAAAATCAACACAGTAATAATTATTGAAAAAACACACCCAGACACAGCACCTTCATACGGATGAAAACAACAGATTTTTAAACTTAGAGTCTATTAAGGACAATGAGCCCTTGAAAAAGCTGAAGCTGAAGATCTGTTGCACTACTTTTCTGTTGGTGGCTCTATGCATGAGCCAGAGAGGCTTTCCTCGTGGGATATGGGAATATTTCTAACTTATGTGGAAAGAACCAGCCAAGGTTTGCAAAAAGAGGTAGAGGGTTTTCCTAGAGCAATTCATGCCATCAGAAAAATCATTATGGTATTAAAACCTGTACATTACAGTTATATTAACAGTTACAATGAGACTAGTATATGCATTACTTACCAAGAGGCTGCGCTTTCGTTTTGTCTCTTCTCCTGACAACTGAAATACTTAAAATTAGTAAGAAGAGTTTAATGAAACATTTTTCTCTAAGTCAGCTAATTAACCAGGAAGAATACTGTGACAGAAGCCTTTTTAGCAGAGCTCTTCACTGACTTCTATGGAGAGCTTTACTTAAAACAAGATGTCCCAATGGGGAAAAAAAGCACAATGTCCAGTGCCTCTTTGCCTTAGCATTGCCCATGCCACTGGGGCATGCTCAGCCTGCGCTGTGGCAGGCTTTAGAGCTGCGTTTTCAACGGCCACTACGCAGCATTGAACCCAGCACACCCACGCCAGCTCCTCTCGCACACGAGTGTGAATGACAACCTGCTGACAACAGCTTCTTCTTGCTGCCAGATTGGGGCTCAGAGCGCCATCGACCTGAAAGAAAAGGTTTTTCAAATGTTTCATTGCTTTGGGTTGTGCCTTGCGTCTCTCTCCCCACTCTTGAAAACAGGGAATTCCTCCTGCTTGCTGCCTGCTGACTTTTTTGAGTACAGCCACAAGTGGCATGTGTGCAGATCCCATGCAGGCGGCAGCCAGCGCCTGCTCTGCTCTGCGCTACGGCAGCTCGTGGCGATGCCGAGCTCTGTCTCTGCCATGCTCTCGGATTTACTCCTTGCTGGACAGGCATTGCTGTCATGCAGATGGCTGTGCCCCACATTGGCTTCACATAGCAAACCCCAGGACTGCTAAATTTTTTTTTTTTTCAAGCGGGCTACATTTCCTACAGGTTGTTAATATATCCTTTTTCCAGATCTTTCACATTTATTTTCAGGAGGTTTAATATTTTTTTATTTCTGGAAAGACATCAAGATTATTTTCTAGAGTTTATAGTTCATTATAAAGTATTTGTGGACTGAAATAAATATAATAAAAAAACTTAAGTGTATATCAAGTGGGCATCCACAATTAAAGTTTATTTATTAATGTTGCTATGAACCTACATATGAAATGAACTTCATAAAATTATTCTTAATAAAAACAAAGGAGGAGCACTTACCGGAAGGTGATCCACTCCTCATTCTGTAACCATCTGGAGAAAGAAAAGAGAGTGTCTGTATTTTATCCATGATTGTACGACATACTTTCCTGGTGTGTTTCAAACATCAAACAAGTAATTCTCCATCTGCATCTGTCTTCCTTTCCCAAAGTAAATTGTCTGCACTGATGCAGTCCACAGAACATGAGCATTGATCCCTGGAAGACATTTCCAGCCAAGGGACGGAAATGGCCAACAGCTACTAAGAACTTTGTGAGGAAGGGATTTGTGAGAAGGGATTTCATTGTTTGCTAGACACCTGGGGCCTCGTCCGCCTTGTGTGTGGGGCGAGGCAGGGAGTGGTGGTGCCGGTGCAGCCAGGTTGCCCGTCCCGGTGCGAGGGTGGGTGCTTCTGGTAGAAGGGGGCACCTGTCACAGGAGGCTCTCCAAAGGGACCAGCTCCTTGCGGAGCTACAGCACCAGCACGGGCTCACAGTGTGGTCCCTCCGGAGTGCTGCAGCCCCAGACAAGAGCTGTTACTGGAAATTAAAAACCAGATGAGCTCAGCATGAGAAATTGAAACAACACCCAAAAGAGCACAGGCAAAGACTCCCTTGGTTCCAGTAGCCAAGCACGCTGCTTGTCCCTTTCTCTTCCCCAGCCGCTCCAGCCACGCTGGTCTGTCACGAGACCAACGGTGCTCAGCGATGCTCCAGCAGGCACAGCCCCAGATCCTGTGAGGACATCCCTGTGCCCTTGACCTGCCCGACCATCACACCGATGCAGGATTTGGCACCTGCTACAGAACCAGGTCATGCTGCAGAGGTGGCCCCAAACTCTGCTCCTCTTGCAGGCAAAGGGAGCTTCGAGGGAAGGGCCGTGCCAAGCCCTGTGTGCCCCCCGGACCAGGGCAGGACGGTCACCAGGCTGTGCTTCTGGTCAGAGAGCTTTCCGCTATGAAACTCCCCAGCTGTACTTTGAGACAGGTAACCTTCAGAGAATGGGGCAGCATTATATCCTTCAATACATTTCTGTGAAAGGACTAGAGCAAACCCAGGGCTCTTCACCTATAAAAGCATTGCTGTTATGATGTATTATCGTAGCTGAGATTATGAGATTAATAATGCTGGAAGTTTCAAATTAATATTCAAACAGATCTATTATTTCCAGAGAGACAGGAAAAAAAATACCTAAATCATCCTCAGAAGTCATTCCAAAATATCTTGAGCTTAATTTTTTGACAGATGCTTCGCACGTGGTGGGAAGAAGCAGAAAACATCATTAGCACTGTTCACTTGAAGAACTACTTTTCCTCATGACTAAAGACAATTTTTGCCTTTAAGACTTTCTGAATGGAAGTTTTTCACCGTTTGACCATGTTATCCACCCAAACCCTGCACAGACGTTGACAGTCATTGCTTACGTTTTGCTTCACATATTTTTCCAAATCTCAGCCACTTCCCTCTATCGAACAACCACTACAAGCCCTCCTCTCCCCACCCCCCCAGCATTAGAGACTATTATGGAGATATGCTACTGGAAAAGAAGAAAACATTTACCTCCTCCTGGAAGGCTGCTGGGCTTCTCATTATCTAACACAAGGAAGAGGGACAGGTTAGTGTCATACAGTCAATACTAAATGACTTTATCCATGTGCAAACCAGAAAACTGGGACCAGTGGGTGTTGGACTTCAGGTGATGAGGTTGTTTTGTGTTAAAGGACAGGTGGGTAGAGCACACACAAGACTCCCAGCAACGGCATGCTTTCCTCCCCTGCATTCGTTTTTCCACTTTATGAGTAACAACTGTTAAATTACATTTTGTTAATATTTAAACAAATTATTTTCTATTTCAATAGTAGTGCCCATTTCACTGCTTCACCTTTTAAAAAAATCCTGTATGTTTTATTTTGAAAGGAAGCTAATTCCTGAACTCCTGCCTCTGATGTGGCTTATTGCCATGTCACATCACTATAAAACGAACCTATACTTGAGATCAACAACAAATCTTCAAGAACAGCAGCGTATTTTGGGGGGGTTGTTCAGTGCCCCATTTACCAGCTTCGGTGGGTTTGTTTGCCAGCTCCGTCTGCTGCTGGCCAGCGGGTTTGGTGACCACCATGGAAGTGAGGGGCGTCACGAAGCTGTACTGCAGAGACAGCTCTAGAGCTTGTGCCTCCAGGGTTTTCTGGTCCTCTTCATGTGCTGAAATACTAAAGTCTGTGTTAATGGTGAAGAAATAACATATAGAGACTATAAGCAGGTCACTTTCAGATTCTTTTTCTTATTAGCTGTGTCTCAACAGGTATTCTTTATAATTGAAGGGTGAGTAGCCTTATTAGGATAACTCAGCTGTTCAAGTGCTTGTAATTATGGAGATGCTTAATTGTTCGCAACACTGGAGCCTATGTATGGTTCAAATACAGAAAAATAATAGAGAAAAGATCTGTGAAATGTCTTATGGACGTATTGTTCTCTTTACTCTATTGCCAGTCACTTATTTACAGACAATATTTCTGGATGTGTAATAACAGCTCAACACAATCCATGCAATTAAAATCTATTTCATAGTAATGTCATTAAGAAAATTTTCTATTGTGCTTTCATATGTGGATATATTTATTAAGTGATACAGCGCTATCATAAAGGGAAAGGTATCTCATGCTCCTCATACAGTAATGCAGTATTCTTCCATTACACTATATTCTTAATACTATCTGCAAAAATATTTCTGTTATTTTGTGTTTTCCTACCATATAATTTGTGAATAAGGAATCTGTGTTTTAAGGAGTTAGAAATTTGCAATATGAAATGTTAAAATAGCTTACGATTTCTCCAGAAGCTGTTGAATGGTTAAGTAAGCCCAAAGTCTCTCTATGAAATTTCCAAAGATGTAACTTTGATTTTGAAATACTTGCTCCTTCTCTTTGACATTTGCTTCTTCTTTAAGAGTCAAGTCACTAGCATGCTGAAGTGAGTGGGAGAAAACTGACCATCACAAGAACAGTTCCAGACTTCATTTATAGTCACATTATTAGACTTAAAAGCACATTTTTCAGTACCAAAGTGCCCTTTTTATCCTTCATTTTTGTCCTTTCCCATTGGAAAATACAACTCCAAACTACCAGATAAGCATGTATTTTGGATATATATTTCTGGACTCAAAACAGTGTTGAAAAAAAGGAGACAATGAAGCTGTTCTACTTCAATATTTTTGAGATTAATTATTCAGATTCCCTTCTTCATTCTAAAAATACAAACCAGTTTTCTACAAATGCCTGAAAGCCCAAAATATTATGGTTTTGAAAGGATTATAGTCATTGGTTGCTTATTTGGGGTATACTTCAAGGTTTTTCTTTTGCAGCAAATTCAGGAGGGGAAAATAGTTTGAATTCTCAAATATTTTCCCAAAATAGGAAAGCAGCTGAATGCCCAAATGTGGAGAACATATACTGCACACAAAAGACTTCTTCAAGTCTCCTACTGCACAGTAAAAGACAAAAGGGAGATATGTTTTTCACAGTATACTAAACACTTACAGACTGAGCTTTGATTTCTACTGGCAAAAGATCAAGCTCATTGCTAAGTTTTCCAGATATTATAATTTCAGATCCTTCAAAAAACAGCTTGAAATTGTTCTTGGTTAATCCCTCAACGGCATTTTCCGGATACTGCATTTCAATTTTCATTAATATTGGGGTAGCCACCTCTTGATAAAAGCCCTAAAGAGAAGCAGAGAGAGAGAGAGCGTGCACAAAAGTGACTGCAAAATTATGCACAACAATATGTTGAATGTCTTAAACCCCCTTAAAAAGAAGGGAGCAAATCTTTTTCTTCAGCAGTGTAAGACTGCTGCAAAGCTAGCAAAAAAAAAAAAAAAAAAAGTTTCTTCCCAAGGTTCAGTACACCTTCTCCAGCCAGGCTGGCGATACCATATAAACTGTGTTTTCTATAGTAATTCAAGTACCCAAGCAGCATTCCCATTATCACCATCTCACACACTTAGGTGTTTTGCTTTAGCTACTTTTCATATCTGATTTTTTTTTTAAAGTTGACCAATCCTGAGGATTAATCTTTTTTTTTCTGGACTGGGGCTGGCATTAAGCAAATCTCTGCACATCCAGCCAAAACAGGCAGAAGTGCCTTCCCCAAAAAAGAGAATGTCCCCAAAGTTATAACCCCTCTCCAGATGGACAGACCAAGGCTGGTGATACTGCAGAGCCAGTTTGCCTGTAGGTGCCTCAAACTACCCACTGATTTTTAGGGAAACTGTGACAAACAGCTTTCAGTGGTGCTACTTCGAGCGGTTTGAAATCAGACTCAAGAACAGGAGTTTTCCCACCATCACCTCCCCTGGACAGTTTGTCTTTTTGCAGAATGTATGATTTTCTAGGTTTGTCCAAATGCAGCTGATTTGAGGAGGACTTCAACTTTGAGTCATGGTTAGGGTACAAACCATCAGATACTCCAAAATTGCCTGCCTTCCTCCCTCCCCAGAATGAACAAATAAACTCAAAACCAACTCTTCATCTCAGAAAATCTGTGGTGTTACTGCTAAGACTAGACATAAGCTGTAGCTCATAGATGGCGCGTTTAGTCCTGACCTGGAGCTGCAAGGCTGCATCAGCGTTTTCATATATACGACGTGCTATTCCTCCATTGCTTAGGGCCATTTTCTCCAGGAACTTATAACTGACATCAAACCCGAAGCCAAGGCAGAAAAGAGCGTATTTCCCATTGACTGCTTTCTGAATGTTTCCTTGAATTGTTTCCACATTAATCTCACCTGTAATTGAAACAAAAACATAGCCTTGCTTGCATTTTTAAAGTACAAAAAGACTGCAGTGGGTTTGGAAAATTCTGTATTAAAATATTAATATATTAATAAAAATATTAAAGTATTTTAAAAATAATTCAGAATAAAATGTTAAAAATATATGGGACATAATTCTGTTAATTGAATCACAGATGAAAGCACTGCTCTGTATTTGGAGTGCCAGAACCCGATTCTCCCCCTTAATGACTTTTACTAACTTCTACTCATGTCGTCATGGTTAAGTGCCAAACATTTTACAAGATTATGATGGTCAGAGGAGGTTTTTAGGACAAAAGGGACACACACTATGAGTTAACAGCACAAGGGATGGAAACGCTTCATCAAGAGTTGGGAAGACAAGTACCATCCATAAAAATTATATGCGTGAATTCACAGAAGAATGGATTTGTTAATGGTGTAATTCAGAGAAACTGCAAATTAACTCAGCCGTGCTTCTCTCCCAGCCCCTTTGTGTGACAAAGGGAAAAGATTTTCACACCATGATCTCCTCCCATTGGAAGGACCACTGATGGCCCTGTACGGAGAGCTTCTCTGTCAGCATTTCCAGGCAGGAACTGTCACTACCTGCAGCAGTAACATGGAAATGGCTCAGATTTTCCCCATTCAGCCTGCTTTGCCAAGGAAGGCAGGGTATGCAGTAATGTTGTGTATATTCACCTGGCATTCCACCCTGATCTGAATTCTAGTCAGCTTGTGTATGTGCAACATGTTCAGGGATATTCAAGACTCGCTGTGCTGAGCAGGCAGCATCCGGAGCTGAATTTTATCAGAAAAACCCAGACAAACAAATCAACCAAGCCGACTGCAGTTCGGATCACACGATCTGAAAGGCAGACCAATCTTCTTAGAGAGCTTACAGCTCAGTTAATATTGCTGGCTTCAGGGAGATGCTGATGCCACACAAAACTCAGACAAACTCCTGTTCAGAACAAGTGATGTTTGTGCCATTACATCAGGAGTTATTATTTATTTAACCCAGTATTTCTAGCTCAGCCATCTGGTTTGTCCTGTCATAGCTCATCACTAGTTAAGAGCTAGACATGGAAAAGAACACAAAACAAGAGGCACCTTGGAAATATCTCAAGTTTGAGGCAAGAAGGGTGAGGCAATATAAGCAATACCTCTCAAAGGGGATCATACATAATATATGCAAAATGTCCACGTTTCGGCTCTAAGTATTTTGCTTTCACGTTTCAGCTGTGCCTGGAGTATCTCCAGCTATTCCCTAGAGCTTATAAACTGGGAAGGCAAGGGTATTCAGCAAAATAGTTCCCAGCTAAAGGACATGTAGTCATGGGCAGGCAGGCTCTGCCATCACTTCTTACAGCCCTTGCCAGAGCCATAATCTTCCTCTCTCTGACACAGATCCAGCGACAGTACAGCCTGCTTACACCAAAGCCCTGCTGAAACATACGCTATGTCTCTCAACACCTGGGAAGCAAGTGTAAAAGATAAAAAAAAAAAAATCTAGGAGAGAGAGGACTGAGGTTAGGATTTACTCACCAGAAGTGGGCTGACCGTCTGTCAGCAAAATAATCATGGAGACGCTCCGTTCTGGCAGCCTCTCGGCTTTATCCAGCACGCTCATGGCAGTCAGCAGCGCGCGATTGATATCTGTGCCTACAATGAGAAAGCAGGCGTCGCTCACCTTAAAAGGATAATCATCTGAAGAAATAGTGCACTTCATCTGCAGAGGCCCTGCACAGTTGTTTAAAGTTTTCTGCAGGAAGTAATCCCTCAGAGACATGAGGATTTAGGGGTTTAGCCTACTGCGCTTAATTATGGTGTGCTATATTGCAATGGCAATGCTGGAGTATTCTTTTGGGAGCATTTTCCACACATATGTCATGGGAAATACAAACATATCTAGAGCTATTAACAAGTGCTTAAACAAACACCCTGTCATCTGTTAGCCTACATTTAAGAAATGTTTCCTCGCCTTATATGAGAAGTCAAAGAAAAGAGCTGGGCACAGGTGGGCTTTACTGGTATCAGCGCCTGTGATGAGAAAACCTACGTTAATACCAACAGCATAATATTAACGGGAGATATAGCCTTTTAGATGTGTTTAAAACTAAACAATGAAACAAAGCACGCTGAGTGTTGCAGCAATTGAAATGCTTCATGACTATTTTGTTTCCACAGCGTGGCTAACATGGGAGTACAACTTTGGATACACTTTATTTTACAAGGGGATGCTTGATATCAAAAAAATGAGCAAATTGCTGTCAAATGTTGAGTGAATTGCCATTTTTCTGTAGGAAAAAAAAAAAAGTACTATCAGGAAATCTTCCAGCCATCTCTGCTATAAAAATCTGAAACAAAACTTTGTGGGTTGTATGGTTCATACATCTCTCTCCGTATTCATATTGTAATGTAGTCATTAATATGTCCACTCCCACAACCAGCCTTTCTATCCCACTCATCATTCGTAAGTATTAAAAACTTACTTGCTTTATAAGCACTGACGGTAATTCCTTGATAGTATATGACTAATAAAAACAGTATTTTTTTTCTAAGCGATATATTATATTGGGTGTATGTTTGTGGTTACAAGCATCTGGGTGGTGCATGGTACCTCCACTAGCAGCAAGAGTTTGCACGAATCCTGCAGCACTTGCCACATTCTCTGCAGTGGCTTGCAGCAAAGACCCCTTCCACTCCACCACTTTGCTGTTAAAGGTGATAAAGCTGAAATGATCTTCTGGGCGGAGGTCTTGCAATATCTTCAACAGGGCATCCCTTGTCTGTTCCAAGGAGAAAACAATCACCGAATACTCCTACTTCTTTGCCAGAACTGGGGTTAGAATTGCAGTGCAATAAGGGGGTTTCTCTACAACACTATTCAAGATGCAGCCCAATGCCCTTATTTAGTCCTAATGGTATTTTTCAGGTTGAGACCATCAGAAGTGGCCAATTCACCTAACTTACAGACACAAAAACACACCTACGAGGGCTGTAGTGGCCCTGTTTGCTCTCTAGCAAAGCTACATACACAGTCATCAATAAAGGTAAAACAGACAAATTAATTCTTTAAACTTCCTCAAAGGAAAAAGCTAGAAGCAAAATATTCTGCAAAGATAGAGACAGAAAAAGTGGTCTCTGCCTTAATGTTTGATATCTGTGAGAACAGCCATACCAGAAAAGTGTTGCTCTTTAATAGCTTAAATCTGTGCACATGCATTTTCAAGCATTTCTATGTGTGTGAAAATTTCGCTGTGTACAAAACCACCACGTGTTTCAAAAGTGAAATTCACAGTCACTGCCTCGAAAGGCTGGTGCGTCTGTGGCCGATGCAAGCAGAGGTCAGTACTTTCAGCTAAGTTACCTGTTCAATTTTTCTGCCTGCCATGGAGCCACTTCGATCTATAACGAAGATGACATTTTTGGGAAACACTGGCATTTCGTGGGGTGCAAAGTAATGCACAAAATATCCATTGACAATCTGAAACACAGAATGCAAAATCATGTATAAAATTACATCTAAGAAAATAAATATTGCATCTTAACATTCTGGCATAGCAAGAAGAGGGGGTGGGGTGCATGGTCAGCATTCTGTTCTTCTAGATAAGCCCGAACCTAAGAACTATTAAAATGTATTTCCTAGCTAGAAGTGAGACTATCTGTAGAGAGCAAATTACAAAAGAACAGCATATAGGTATATATAAAATATATATATTACACACCTCAGTGCCATATGATATAGCTGTATTATCACTGTATATTACGTTACCTCTTTATTATCACCTATGAGCACATCTCTGCTCATTGACTGTGACTGCCATCTTTTAGTACATCCATGCATACTTCAGGAGTGAAATGGTATGGAAAGTAATGTATTTTATTCCCTAGGATATGCATTGATCCATAAATATTTTTAAGTTCCTGCTCTCTTTAGTTATTCCTCAGTTGTCACAAAAAAAAAAGAAAACCAAACAGTTATTTTAATAGTTATATAAATCACATTCCTCTGAACTTAATTTACAAGAAGCCACAAATACACCTTAGATTAGCCAAAATAATAATAAAGAATATAAAGAGACATCTATAAATTGGCAATGTAGATTTGGTATTGAAACAAAATTTGAAAGATTGATTTTTCACATGGATGATCCGTTCTTGCAATGTGCCTGGTGTCTCTAGGGATTTAGTGAGTATCCCCATCAGTTCCTGCTGACTCTGGATTAATGGAAATAGCTTTTCCTGTCACTCTTGCTGTTTCAAAGCAAATGTTGCGGTTTGGCTGATTGCACTTCACATTCAGACATATCTATGATCTGAAAATATTTTTATTTCTATTTCTTTCTTACCTGTATATCACCTGCCGTGGCATCTCTCTTAACATCATAGCGCACAACAAAATCACCATTGAGAAGGGTTTCATCAAGTTCAGGATTTATTTTCTGTTGATCTACCGTTGGCTTAAATAAAATATGAGCCTGCAAAGCAATCAGAAGAAAAGATTTAAGGCAACATAACTTAAGGCTGCCACTGGCAGTAACATCTGGCAGCTGCTGCTTTACCTTGGTTTCGTTCTGCACTTTTGTGAGCGCCTCTGCTAACTCATTTGTCATGAACGTGCTGTCTGTCTCCAAGAAGCGTATGCCTTGGGGCTCGAAGATGTGCACATCAATCTGACAGTGGAGAAGCAGCTGGCATCAGCATCTCAGAGGGAACACAGCCATGCCCAAAAAACACCACGCTGCTCCCCAACCCAGCCCTCACCAGGGCAGCTCACCTGAAAGTGCTTAACAATCTGCTTCGGCCGGACCTTGATCAGCAGCTCGTACTTCCCCAGCTGCCGCTTCAACAGCTCCTCGTAGGCCAGCTCAAAAGTGACTTTGCTGGTGGCTGCAATGCTGACGGACACGTGAAACTGCTCCAGCTTTCTGCCTGTGATTCTGGCGGGGGAGAACAGAGACTTACCTCCCGTGGGGAAGGTTTGGTTGTGGTGCCCAAAATTTGTGAATTGTGCTAAATAATGGCCAAATGGCCACATGGAATAAACAGAGTAGCAGTAAACCTTGTTCATGATAGAGAAGATTTTTCACATTGCAGGCTGTAGTATACACATCACACATATTACATTAGTGTTCCATGGGTGCTGCATGTGCAAGCTGAGAAATGGAGCAGAAACCTCTGCATGCCTCAGACTAGGGTCAAGGAGAAGTGGGACTCAATACATAGGAAGCACAGATTAAATATACCCCGAAAGCGTGATGTCTGCTCAAGTGCCATGGTCCTCTGTGCTTGCAGGCAAGCAGACTCAGCGACTGAGCATCATCCCAGCCCAGCAAGGTGCTACTGCGTGACAAGTCCCACTTGTTGTCCCCAAGGAACACTAAACAGTGACACCTCCCGCTGAAGCCCACTGCATCACCAGATATAAATCATATATATATATGTGTGTGAAAATACACACACACACACACACATCGTCCCTCTCAACAAGAACCCAAGGGTGCTTTTCACATTTATTGCTGCTGAGAGGTGGCTGGCTCCAGGGCTTAACCTGCCCCCATCCAAACGAGAAGCTGAGGAAGAGGGTGGGAGCAGCCTTACTCAGGACGACAACGTACTTGACGAGGCCGGCGCTCTGCCCGTGTGCGACCGCAGTGTCATATTCCTTTTGAGCAGAAGCTTTCTCCTTTATTATTCCCAAGTATACTTTACCGTCAATGGACCTGTTTGGTTTCCACAAAAATTAATTAATACTAGAAGGAAAGCACTGGGGAAAGAAATGAGAAGAATGCTGCACTTTGTGGCTCTCGGGGCATGAGCAGGGGACACCGTTTGGCTCCCGCATCCCTCCCCACCCAGGGGAATGCCAGAAGCCACCACCACAACACAACCTTTCTTCTTGCAGGGTCTCAGGGGGGCTGGAGCAGCAGAAACACCACCACCGAGTGCATTTGTCACCCACCCCGTGCAGCAGGCAGCCTTGCCCTGTCCCTGGGCATCTTCTTTCTATTTGGCTGCCTACTATTTTGCCCCACAAAGCATTTTGTGCAGGACCCTCTAGAGCTCAACTCTTTGTACTTTTTGCTCAGCATCTCTTGAGAAGAAAGATGAACCCCCCTGGCCCCCAGAGCTGCCTCCTTCACACCGCAGGTAAGGACTGGTCCTACATGGAGAAGTTGGTGATGAAGGCTGTCTTGGGTAGCTCCACTTCAAAGGTCGCCTCTCTGGACTCATTAGCTCGGTTGACAATTTTGCTGGTGATGATGGTGTGAGCAAATCGCGATGTGACCTTGCAGTCCACGTGGACGCTGTAGATTTCAATAGCATGCTGGAAAAAAAATACAGGCTGAAACAGAAACACTCAGCTTTTGCTCCTGAGCAGTTCTGACCTGAGTGATGTTATTGGAAAAGTTCGATGAACAATGAACCATTAGAGGGTCTAGCCGGGATCAGGGAGGGGTTTGTGACCAGGCGCTCTGTATAGACCGACCGCCTGCATGTGCCTTATTCACGTCTCTGCAGCTGCGACCACAGCCCTGCACAAAATTTGCGTGTTGTCATTCCACAGAAGGCTTCTGTCAAGCCTTTTTTCTGTGGTCTTCTCTCCTTGGGTTATTCTGAAGCAGCTGCTGTGTCACCCCAGCACATCGCCTGACATTAACTTGGGAAAACCAGATGCCTCTAACCCCTCAAGCCGTGGAGAGAGACCTGCTAGCTTTTTGCGCGACTATTTATTTGCTTTCCCAGCTGTTGACTTTGCTGCATGTTTTTCGGCTTGTGTCACATAGGATGTTTAGCAGGTTTGAAACCCCACATGGGCCTCCAACCCCTCGCTGGTTGCACAAGCAGGGATGCCCTTTGAGCACTCATGTTTCTCCTGGTCTGGTGCCTCCAGGGCCCCCAGCGCTCAAGGGAGGAGGGCACTGTCACAGAGCTGCCCGGGAACTCTGTGAACACCCTCCTTTTGCATTTGGGATGTCTCTTTGGAAGGCCCTGCCTGTGTTTCAGCAGTGAGACTAAGAAGTGTTGATCTGGACATTAGCAACCTCACAAGTGTCCAATAGTTTATTAAAACAAAAAAGATCAGCATCAAAGCAGTTCATCGCACTTCTATTTTTACTTTCCCAGCCTCACAACCCTTTTGAATGGCTAATTGATCTTTGATTATTTTGATAATTAATCTCCTGTGCTCACCAATTAATAGCATCCACTGACCTCTTCTTAGTTAGGGCACTGGCCAAAATTCAAAAGTTTAATAAAGCTAAACGTGGCAATTGAATACAAAGCTGTGACTGCAGCCTTGTGCTTGGGCATCGGGGCAGGAGGTGCCACAGTCAACACCATGTGAGCAACGGATGGCTGTTTCTTTTTTCATTATACGTTGCCAGAGCACACTCCATCTCCTGACACCTACTGACAATCCAGGACAATGGAATAAACCCCAAAAATATTCACCGAGAGAACAATTTCCTGACCCGGGCAGTCTGGGTGCCTCTCCCTGTCCGTGCCCCCCTGCTGCCCACCCCCAGCTGGAGCCCTCCCTGCCCAGGCTGGGGCTGTCTCTTCCCAAAGGCTTTCTGCGCATCCCCAAGCCCCTCTGCCCACGCCTGCTGCCCTGCCATGCTCAAACCTGGCCGTGGCGGGCATGGAGGGGAGGTTTTGCTGTGACTGAGGAGCCCCGAGTCGTGGCTTACTGGGCACGTGGTGGCCATTGCTGCCCAAGGAGCATTTTTCTGGCACAGGAGGATCTTTGCTCTGTGCAAAACTTACCCTGTGCAAAATCCACCCCGCCGCCCCATGCCGAAGGGATGCTGCGGGGATGAGGGATCGGGGACCTGCATCCCCTGTGCTTGCCCAGCCCCAGCAGCCATGTGGGCTGTGACCAACACAAACAAGCACGGTGCAGCATGGTGCCTTGATCAAAGGAGGCAGGAGAGGACCAGCCCCTGGTGTGTACCGGGAAGCAGTGGGGAGCTGCTTGTGGCTGCTCCCCAAAGCACCACAGGCCCAGACACCACATCCGTGGCTTCCCGCAGAGCCCTCGGCCGCCCCTGCAGCAGCCACAAGACCTGTCCCTGCCCCGCAGAAACCTGCCTGCATTTCAGTTGCATTTCAGTTGCGTTTCACAATTACCTGAATAGGCACGATGGAAATAAAAACCTTCCAACACAAGGCTTCCTCCGTTTCTCTAATACTGATGTTTTTAAAATAAGACCTATCTTATGCACTCTGAGATGATACAAAACAGAGTTTGCTCCTCCAGATGGTACAAAGTAATTGTCTGCTCTCCTCTTTTCCATTCCATATAAATTATTAAATGCCTGTCAGAAACCTCCTGGCACTGCAACAGTCCTTGTTCAGTCCTGCTGTATCAAGATGCAAACCTCATCCGATGGCTGAGGGAGACCCATTGATCCCTCAAATTTGATATTTTAAGTCCCTGGGGAAGAACATAATCAGACACATCTGCAAATGCTCTCCCGCCGCATTTACACTATAACAGCCCAACAACCAACCAAAAAGGCCTTAAAATGACCTAAAGCTCTGAAATCACGACACAATACACCCGAGGCTCCACAGGTGGTGGTTACCAGAGGAGTTACCTGCGTTAGCTGGCCGGCTACCCCGATACCACCGATCACCTGACGAGCAAACAAGATATTGGTAAAAAAATATAGAGCAAATACCTTTTGAGCAATAGTTTCTGCTAACACTATGACTGAGGAAAAGACCATCAATGCAAGCAACGTTCTCTCCTCCATTTTGGAAAGACCAGATTTTGAAATGAAAACTTGGTTTGTCTTAATCAGTTAATGAGTAACTTGCACTTGGGTATATTACGTAGACTTTGAAGAGACCCAGAGACTTAATATTTACATGTTAAACATAGGTAAAACTTGGACTTGGTTAACGTTTATTTTTCCAACAGATCTTTGCTGTTAAGCGCTAGAATTTTAATATTTCATGGAAGATACAGAGCGGCCCTCTTCAAACATCCCTTTTTGCTTCCTCTGATAAACCATAATCCTTGTTTGTCAAATAGCAAAGTCAGTTGTGGCTTATCTTTATCTCAAGAGTAAAAACAAAGCAATTGGACCTTGTCTGGACTCCCTAGGGAGAGAGGCGCTAAGTCAGTGCCTATACATACATGTATGTAAACGTACAAAGACGACACAAACCACCCAAAAAGGGGATCACAGCTGGCCTTGTCCAACCCTAACACAGCTGTGACGTACCCAGCTGGGGATTCTGCAAAGCTGCCTTTAACCCGTGCGTTCAGCAGAGCTCTTTGCACAGAAGGTTAGTGCTGGGAGAGCTCTGCAGCTGAATTTACCTTCAAACTGAGTGGGATGGCTCTTTTCACCTCCTATTTTACAATAAAATCTTCATCCAGCAGGGACTTCAAGCAGTTCCTGTGAAGTTTTTGTTAGTCAACGGCTAGCTTGTAGCCCTGGAAAAGAAATTCTCTTAGAAGTCCAGTTTTACACACAGATAATCACAGACAGTGTTATAACAACATAATTCCTAAAATACACATTCACTCATGTGGTGTTTAGGTAGTCTCCTAACGCAATGCAGCTCGCATGACTATTTAAAAGATATTTCTCCATCCGAGTCGTTGTACTGTCTGCATCTTCTACAAAGCATTTACAAAGCTGGTGCTGTAGAGAGAAGTAATCTGGAAAGACACACTCTCCCCTCAGCAGATGAAGACTCAACCCTGTCCTCCCACTGCGATTTCTCTGCCTGTCTGCCCCCTGCACCTCCAGGATAGCAGACAGCCCTTTCTCAACTAAACCTCCAGTCTGTCCACACAAAAAACACTTTTTCATGTTGCTTTTTGACAGCATTTTCCCCCTTATATACTCCATAGTAGGTGATGCCATTAATTGTCCTACATTAACACAAAGAACCTGTGGCAATACATGTACCTGTGTCTGCTTCATTGCTATTGTACAGACAAAGCGTCCAGGTGGAGAGCTTGCTTCCAGTGGCCTTGGATTTCTGAGGAGACACTAACATAGCACTCAGTAATTTAGTACTTCGGCAGACATTTACAAGTTCACCATAATGAGTCTGTTGAGCGCAACCTGGTCTTCAAGGCCTGTGCTTTAAGTAACTTTAGTAACTTTTTTTTGAAAACAAACTTCTCTTCTTCCAGGCAGACTTTTTATACTACTTGCAAATACTCTGTTGTTTATAGCAGGACATGTAAATACGTATCTTTTAATGGAAAAAAATGAAAACTGCTATACATTTGATTAATTTCTACAACTTCTGCAATGCTTTAATCCCTTAAAATACATAGGCTTATACACTTAGTGGCCCAAGCTCCCGAAGTGTCAAAGTTTAGCTTTAATTAAGTGAATCTGCCGTCAGTTTTCTGTAGAATCACACCGGCATTAAAGAGCTGCTTTAACTGCCCAGACTTAGGCTGCGTGGTTGGCTCTGCCCCGCTCCTGGGTGCATGGTGCTCATGCTCAGCCTTGTCCCCGGACTCGAGCACCTCGCCCCATTTCTGGACAGACTGCCAATGACAGCCATCCCCGCTGACGTCCAGCGCCCATCGCTGCTGCTGCACTGGGCACCAATCCTGCAGCACTTCTCACCCTGAGGAACGAATGCGCTGTGAAACGGCTTCAGATCACCTTGGAGGAAAGATCTCAATCCACCGTCACAACAAGAGATACTTTTGACTGAAAAATGACCTAAAAACTCAAACCCTGGGGTTTTGTTCAGATTCTTGTCTGTCACATTTCTCATTCTGAAAATGAGGGAAAAAATGGGAGAAAGCACATTTTCCATGATTGGACATTATATTCGCAAGGATGAAGAAAAAGATGGCAAAAAATTCTCCAGGCAGCTTTATATTTGTTGTTCTCACCCACGTCACCTGTTCTGCAGCAGCAGCCAGCAACTTTTCCAGCACAGCAGCAAGGCTGGGGACAGGAGAGGATTCCTGCAATTCATCCAGGAGAGCACAGACCTTGCTGCCACAAACGGGGAGCGACTTTGTACCAGGGATACATTTTTACCGCCAGTGCATATTTTCTTGTATGAGGTCCCTCATAAAAGACAGAAAAATAAAAAAAGATCCTTGGTCCTGGGCACTTACTATCACACTGGGAAGCATCACAAGTAATTGAACCTGAGGACATCTGGGAAATAAAGCTGTTAGCAAAATCCCAAGTTTCTCGTAGATATCTTAATTTGCTTCCCTGCCACATCCGTTGGACTCAGGGTTTCTGTGCTTTGCTAAATCGGCACCAACATACCCGGAGCCAGGTCTGAAATACAGCACCCTTCCTCCCCTGCTACCCAGTCTAGCAAATCTACAATATTCAGTCGCTTGTATTGTACAGAAGAAAGTGATAACAACATTTTGCTTCACTTGGCCCTCTCCATCTTTTTTCTAATTATTAAACAACCTCCTGCCAGCTTCTCATCACAGGTTAAGGAGGGTTTGTTAAACCTGATGCAGGGACAGCTCCAGTGTTATCCGGGTGGGAACTCTTTTTCCCACCCTGTTTTGTTTTTATCTTCAAAGCTCTGGAAGGAATCTTTCTCAGAGGAAAAGGCTCTGCTGCGTCACCGGCGAGGAGCCTGGGCCCTGTGGAGAAATGGTGCCTGGCAGAGAGAGGAGGCAGGGTCTTGGCTGCAAATAATCAGCTTTGAGGGGGGGGAAAAAAATGGGGCAGGGCAACGCACCAGTGATATCTTTAATTTTTTAAAGAAAACCTCCCGCTTAAACCCAAAGGATTTGCTGCTGCCTTATGCACACCCTGCTCCGCAGCCCCTCTGGGAGCTCTGGGGATGTCGACACGTGTTCTCCGTCAAGGTTCTGGGGTACAAAAGGCAAAGATGATGTTCTTCATGGTGCACAGAGACCTTCGATTTAACTTTCACCTCTTAATCAGCTCTAGTCTGTGCAAAATAACAGTAATTCTTTAAATAGAGGTGGCACCTACCTGACCGTCCCTGGATGTGCTGCCAGGGCCTTGAGGTGTGAAGCATGGCGGCTGCCAACAAGAAATACTCCAGTTTACAACCTCGGGGGAAAGCAGGTTTGGCGTTTAATGCAGCGAATCAAGACGTAAACAGAGTTGCAAGAAAAACAACTTCCCCTCAGAGTGGGCTTGCTGTTGTACAGAGACACTCAGCGGCCGCTTGGCCCCTCAGCCAGGCGGGAAATGGCGCCCGTGCTGCCGGCCCCTCACCCCACTGCCCGCTCGATCCGAAGGGACATGAGGAAAAAGCCCCTGTGGAACGGGCTGGAAGCTCTCCCTCAGCGCCGGGGCGTGCTGACAGCCCAGCATCTTGCCTCCCGGCAGAGCCGCGTGTGTGGAAGCCATGGCAGCGCTGCCTGGAGCGGGGAGAGAGGAGGGGGCTGCCGTGAGGGGAGCGCCGCCATCCTGCAGCACGCCCGGGCCCTGAGGGGCCTTGCCGGGCGCCGTTGAGCTTGGCACGGGCTTGGGGGGAGTCTCCAGGTTTCCGTGAGGCCCCATCGGCCAGCTCCTCCCTCCTGGCGAGGGCACAGTGTGAGAAAATTGCACTGACACCAAAGCTGTGTCATCTGGGTGTTTGTTCTTTGTGTTTGACAGGCTAGACCAACACCAAAGCGCCCACAGAATTCGTCTGAGCCTGAGCTGAAATTACTCACCACAGAGTGCCAAGCTGTGTCCAACAACCTTTTTTTATTAAACCATTGTAGCAAACACCGATCAACACACAGAAAGAAAGCACATAATAAAAATTAACATGGAAGTTGTAACCTTTGATGTGAGTCTATTCTCTACTTAATGACTTACAGTAGAAATCCGCTACTTAGGTCTACAGCGAGTTAGTGTATGGGCAGGAATTTGAGAAAAAGTTACAAACGCCATCTGGGTGAGACGCACCCAGCTCCGCTGTCAGCCAAAAACGCTCTTGGCTGGCTCTTTCGGCTTCTCGAAGACTGTTTCATCCCCTGTGCGATCCCGGCTGAAGATGGAGGGTGCCGCAGAGCCCATTTGTTCTTGGAAAAAGAGAACCAGGAGAGGCAATCAGTACAGCAGAACACCAAATTCGGGGAGCAAATCCAGTGCTGCTGAAACTATTTCATCTGTCCATCGACTTCCCACAGCTCAGAGCCCAGGGCTGCCACCCCAAGCACGGGGCAGCTGCCGGTGCCTTGCAGGTGGTCACCGCCATTGACCGGCCCGAACCCCTGCAGATGCTTTAGAAACTTGCGAACTACTGTAGTTCGGGCTGTCAGGCTGAAAAGCGGTTAAAATCCATCATTTTTCCTTGGACTCTCCCACTGGTAGTGGAAAAGCAACACAAAACCAGAGGACCAGGGGTGTTCAGTGCAAGCAGCCACTCACTTCTCTCTCACCTTCTGTCCTTTATCCCCCCCCCAACCCCAATTTCTGTTTCACCTCAAACACATCAAATTCATCCACCTGAGAGGCCAGAAATCCCCTAATCCTCAACCAAACCTCCAATGTTCAACTTGGGCAGCCATTGACATCGGCTGTGGTCTGAGAGCTTGGTGTGAACCCTGGTCCAGAAGGCAAAGGCAGGGCTCTCCCTCCTGCTTTGCCTGGACAGGGAGAGTGATCGCTCTGGGCAGAGCCCCATTGGCACCTCCTGGTGCTGTCGGGATGATGGACGGACAGACGGACGCCGAGTCCCTGTGCAGCCAGGCCAGCGTCGGTGAGCGCGCTGCTGGCTGCTGTTTCAAAGGCACACCCTTCCACTTGAGAAGAGCAATTCAGTCGATGTTTTACTTCGGAAGACTGCTTAATCGTTTCCATCAAGGAGACTTACCGCACTGCTTCATCACTTGGTAGGTTTTGGATTTAATCTCCTGGTTTTTGGAAAGGTTTCCTCTCGCTCCTTTGAGGTCTTCTTCCTTCACTGGTGGACGCTTCTTTTTCACAGGGGCTGGCTAAGAAACAGATGTATTGCCCACACATCAGTATCCTGTGTTTAGAAGCACAGGGGAACAAAGCTGCCCTAACCCAGACGCTACTGCACAGAGTTGCTAATAAAACATTCCACCTGTTTCAATTCTGAGGCAGTACACTCAGCTACTCCAGGTCTTTGCACAGCCATAATTTCACTGCCCTTCCCAAAATCCGTTGCCACTATTACTGTTCTGTTCTGAAGTTGTCTTCTGATTGTACAGCCTTTGAAAGAGACAGTAGATTATGTATTTTTTTTATTTTTTTATTCTGTGTCCAGCCCTGTCTGGTCATTCTGCAAGTACAGATTGGTAATTCAAGAATCTGTTCAAATCTGGGAAGGAAAAAAACATTACTAAATTGTGCTTGTGCCTCAGTCTACTCACTACTTTGGGAAATCTGTCAGAGAGATTCTGAAGTCTGGCTTGATTTAGTTGGAACAAACTTAACACTTGATCCATAGTTATCGATCTTAAATTTAGGGAACAAAAAGCATCTGAGCACTCAACAGGGTTGTCCACAAGCATGTACTGAACATATCTGAAACACTGAACTCGGAACCCAAAGAAGGAGAAGCAATCTAATATAGAAACAGACAGATCATCATGTGGTGTGCTACAACGTCCAACTACTAATCTGTTTACAGTTTATCTCGCCAGAAGAAAATCAGGATAACGTTGGTTCATATCAGCCTATCCCTACCTTTAACTTAGCACTTCAAAGTCAGACCCACTGTCACTTGGCAGCAGTTGGCACTATTAACATTCCCTCCGCAGTCTACTCTTTCAAGGACAGACTGCCAAGGTCCTGCCAGGCAGACCACATGGCACGGTGCAGGGGCACAGGAGATGCGAGTGAAAAGAGCAAAAGACCCCCACACTCCAACTTTAACAGATTTGCACACTGAACTGTCAACAAGAAACTTCTCTGACCATCGCTACGTACATAGGGCTTACGATATTTGGGTTCTGGCCGCGGTGGAGCCTGCTCGTACATTCCTGGGCACTGCCTGTAAAGCTAAAAACAGTTGTGGAGGGAAACAAATCCCCCGAGGCCCACGCTGGCTGGAGCAGCGAGTCCCTAGAAGCTTGCAGAGACAGGGCGTGCATGCCTGGCTCACGGCAGGGCCGGGCTGGCTGCACTGGAGCCTTCGGCATGTTTCCTGCCGGCTGTAAATTCCCGGGAAGGCTCAGAATAGCTCGCTGTCAATCCCATTCGCATGTGTTGTGGGAAACAAAACAATCACAAGACCTCTGGGGAAAACACTCTATAAGTAGCCAAAGCAAGCAAGAGGGAAGGGCAGTAGCAAACCCTTCAAAGTTCACAACAGCTTTTGGTCAGTCAGCCAAACATCCCCACAGCCAGGGCTCCATTTGTCCGTTTAACGAAAATGGGCATGTGATGGGAACGGGCCCCCATGCCATGGCGTGGTCCACAGGCAGCCGGTACAGACCTGTGTTGGTTCCAACACAGAAAGGGAAAACTCCCCTTGTTTTGCTAACAGGAATATGAACCCTGCTAGGGTCCTTCACCCATCATTGGCAATAAACAATAACGGTGAGGCTTCTTTCCACCGAGACAAGGAACTTAGAATCACAAAACGGTTTGGGTTGGAAGGACCTTATAGATCATCTGGTTTCAACCCCCATGCTACGGGCAGGGACACCTTCGACCAGCCCAGGGTGCTCAGAGCCCAGTCTAACCTGGCCTTGAACACTTCCAGGGAGGGGGCAGCCACAGCTTCTCTGGGCAGCCTGTGCCAGGTCCTCACCACCCTCACAGTGAGGAATTTCTTCCTTATCTCTAATCTACCCTCTCTCATCTTGAAGCCATTACCCCTTGTCCTATTCCTACCTGACTTCTTGGGGACAGGGTAAGGAAAGGAGGCACTTGAGATGCACCAAGACACAGCCAGGCTGAGCAGAACTGCTGAATTTAATCCACTTATTTTAAAATAAATCCTCTCATGCTTTGATTACAGGTGGATTTTCCAGCAGGACAGCTGCTGTGGATTAGTTGGCCTCCCGCTAAAAAGCAAAAACATGGCACAGAAAGGTGACTGTGGGTCTCAGCAGTGAGCCCAGACCTGCCAGTACCAGCAGCTGCTGGCGTCGCAGCCGCTCATCGCTCCCAGGACAAGCGCAGCTGTAAGCAGGGTTTGCCAGGAGCCATTCCCAGCTGGCACAGCAGTGCTGCCTGCGCTTTATCTCCTCCCGCCACAAGCCAAAAAATATTGCTTTACAAGACACACGACTGTTGTCAGTCTCTTCTGTGGAGTAAAGAAAATAAGCTGAACTGAGTTACTCTCTGTGGTGGAAGGATTGCCCTCTTCTACCCTCCCCGTGTTCTCACTCTCCATCCCAGCCACCACGTACGACTCATGCTGCGAACAGCTCTGCCAGGCACATGCAGCTTGTGTTGAAAACGTAACACTTCTGTGAAAACCTCCAAGTTTCTGAGCTAATTTTAAGATCACTTTGAAACACTGATTATTTGGAACACAGTAAAGACAAACTATTAGTTACAAAATGAACATGAAAGTGTGTAATACGAAATCTCAGTCTCAAACATCATATCATAAGTTAGTTTTCAGTCACGCCCTCTCTTTTCCCGCACGCCACTACATCAAGCTTTACGCAGCAACACAATTCAGTATAGCCCTGTCCTTTCAAGCCTACTAGCAAAATTTCAAATCGTTGTCTGAGAAAGAGTG